ACTCACACTCCTCCGATCCGTATGGTGGGCCACACACCGGCCGACCAATAGGCCTCCAATTCCGCATCTCCAGGCCTTTGCAGCCTGTTTTCTTGTCTTCACGGCTCTCACACAGTCAAGCCGTCCGACAGTACAATCAATCATCAGCCATCCGGTGAGCTTGCAGGTTCACAGTCAGCCTCCAGCCATCCCGTTCGTACTCCCGCCCACCGGTAAGTGTGCACTCCCACCCCTGCTGCCCACCTTTCCCCACTCGTTTCTTCAAAGCAGATCGCCCACGCTATCCCTCCTCCGCAAGGCTTCACCAGGATGACGAGTTCGAACGAGTCTTTCGCTAAAACGCGGAACGATACACTTTCAATTCAGAGCGTTCTCTCGCATACACAGCCCATGCCTCAGGCAGCACGCAAACTGCACCTTTATCGTAAGATCCGAGTTCGCCATCGAACTCGCAGCCTCCCAACTCCTGACTGGTACTCTAGTTTGCTCGATTACCTTGGGGACCTAGCGAAATCTCGACTTCCTCTCCCGCCACCGTTCCTCCCGCCAGAGCTCGACGCACCCCCTACCTTATCTAACTTCCAATGTACTAACCTACGACTCAAACTAACACCACGATCGCGCTCGCCCGACATCAGGACCCCAATTTCGGATCCTCCCCCGCCCGTTTCCATTTTCTGCCATAGCCCAGCGCAGTGTTATCTTTACTAACTTCTGTTCTACTGACTCCCCCATCGTTCCGAGCTTACTAACAGATTCGCAGTGCCCTGAACCCTGGTTTTCGATCCTCCACCCGCTCGGTTCTCTCACGAATCGCGCGGGCTATTCACTTCCCACTTGCACTGCTCATCTCCCCGCCATCTCCGACCATACCGCGCACCTCCTATCGTCACTAGCACCAAACCCAAGCACCTACGGCTAAATCTAACACTACTAACCAACTCGCAGCCCCGAAAAAACCCCGGTTACGATCTTTCCTCGCCCGTTTCCGTTGAGAAACGGGCGAGCTATCTCCATTTCGCTCCGCCCGGCTTCGCCATCGCCCAATCCTCCCCCGTGCACCTGGGCTGATTCGTCGCCCTGGTTCAGCCCCTTGTTTATCTGCTCCCCGCCTCGGTCTCTCCCCGGCTGCCCGTTACTCCTCATTGCCCGTTGCTTCACCGTGCTGCCGCTCGTCACCCGCTGCCATCACCCCTGGCTGTGCCCCGCCAGTCTCCCCGCCATCACCACCCTCCTTTCTTTTCTACCCCCAACCACCTCCGTCTCTCCCTACGCCGGATGCACCCTGCGTGCTAGCCCGTCCCGGTCCATTCAGCCCCCGTCGCTACTTCTGCGCAGTGCCCGTTGTTCCGTCTCTCTGCCTCATCTCCCCTTAGAGTCGTTGCCCCCGCCTGCACCTGGCTCTGCCCCTCGTCCAGGTCCAGCCTCCTCTCTCAGCGCCCGCCCGCTCAGCTCGTCGCCACTCCGCTACTCCTACCTTAGCGCTGCCCACTCCCGTTCTTCGGCCAGCGTTGCTCGTAGTGGTCGGTCGAGTCGGTCGGCAGCTCCAGCTATCCGGCGGGGAACATCTGTGGGAACCAGGCAGTTGGCCGATTCAATCGATCTCTCACCCCTATACCCCGTCTGCAGTCCTTGTCGTAACGCGCAGTCCTATGGCCTGGCTCTGGCCCCAGCCCAACAACTCTAGCTACACCGAAATCCCGCCCACGACCTACACACCAGGGTAGCAGCGTGCCCTCACCCATATTTCCCCTGGCAACCTGCTTCGACATTGTTTGCTGGCCCTTCGGGCTCTCAAGGAGCAAGCCCTCACGCAGATAGCCAGTCGCAGGGGCAGGGGCACAGTCGGTGGCAGGCCTAAACGTGGGCCTAGGCCAGACGGCCCCGAGGCAGACCTTGGGGTAATAACAAGGTACCTAGGCGAAACCTTTAAAGGCCGACGCGGAGGGGGATTCCATGGACATACTCACCCCTGCCGCCCCGCACGCACATCTGAGCTCCTCGGCCCATGTCTCGAGGCGGCAGTAGCCCGACTACGTAGGGACCCAAACGGCCCCTCGAAGGAGGTGCGTAGCCAAGGTCCTCGCCTCCCGTGATGGCCAGTGAGTCTGGCGTCGCATCCGGGTCAACGACACGCCGGAGTGTACCAAAAGGAAAACACTGTAGAAGTACGGCGCTAACCGAATCACTTAAAAAGGTATTACCACTGATCGGACACCGCCGACGGCAAACCCAAAGGGTGGGTAACCCCGCCGTGCCCCCAGCCCCGGGGTTTCCTCCACGCCACTCCGATATTCCGCTTTGTCGCCGCTCGTCCTCGATCCCTGAATCTCCCTGATGAAAGTACGACGCCGTAATTAACAGTGCTAGGCCCACGTCTGGGTCTAGCTCTGACGAAAACCTAAATAAACGGGCACCGCGCGACGCGCCAACCTATCGAGACGCCCTCCGAGGTCACGTAGCCATCGATGTCGTCCTTCGCACATATGCACAGGTCATAGGCAAGGCACATCAACCCTCGAGACGTAATTTCTTTAATCCCTATTTAATCAGAAGAAAACGAACTCTGGCCGGCGATCATGCCGACTCTTCAGTCATCAACAATAAGCAGATCACGCGCGCCCTACTAGCCCGTGACTCCGCGCACACGCCGTCAGGCGGGCGACACTGCACTTGCCCGACTTGCAAAAAAAACACGCCAAACACCCTTGTAAGGGTATTTGGTACGACATTCTTCCCAAACCTTATTAAACGACGTCCTTGTCACACCAAGAATTCCTATTCAACTATAGTCCTCAGAAGGACTACATGATAACTCCCTCGAGTTCTCAAATTCAACTGAAACGGTCATCAAGTTGTATCAGCACTGGACCTCATTTCCTTAAGAAAATTTGTGCAGAAGTCAAAGGTTGAAAATACCATTCAGTTCCTGATCAAAAATAGAAATCTATAACAACCGAGTAATCGGCTAAGCACAAACACTCCTTCATTTCTACTTTAACAAAGTGGATAAACCCACTTTCCACCTACTATAATCACGGACGGGGAGTCATCCAAAGCCAAACTTAGGACTACCACACTTCCGGTCTCTCTGAGCAATGTTTTATTGCGTCGGACACACTGATCACCCCACCACTGGCTCAGGCTCAGACTCTGTGGTGGGTCAAATTTCAGGGCTTCAGCCTTCGGGTAGATCCTTAACTTTTCACCCACCAATTACTCAAGTCCATCCGATCTATACACTCCCTTCTACAAGCCCTCCCTCAGGAGAACACCTCATTGTGGGATTTAATCAGACACCTCAATCCTTCATGTACTTTAGGAGATTGGGGTGTTTTTGACCCCATCATACATACCACAAACGTATCTTATGGGTAGGGCCCCGTTAAGCCCAGTCCCACAAGTCATCACTGTCACTCAAAGGTCATTCATTTCAGTCATTCATCAAACAAATGGGGGGGGGGGGGTATTCACTAAGTCTTTCAAGATAAGGAAAAACCCGCCCTTTTTTTTATAAGTCTTACTTTTATGAGTGGGATTCTTCACTTTTATCACACACTTTGCTAGTCTTATTCACAAATTTTGCTCAATGAGCACACTCTCATAATTCTTTCCCAAATAGAACTCAAAGTCACTTTCAATCAATACTATAGCTGATTGGAGGGCCTTATAACCAGGCCGATCCTTCCTGCCGTAGATGACGCTCCCACCGGCTATTTGCACAAACTTTAATTTCTCTCAAGGAGTCTTAATCATGGAAGTCCCCGTCACAGACTAGATCACTTGTGGCCCATAACAAGCTGAATAAAGGACTTACAACCAGCCTTACTAGCTTTTACGCGACTACGCAAGCGGGGATGCCGAATTGAACGGATATTTCCTTACCCCCTGCCACACACAAAATCACCCGGGACTCACAGCCACCGGTCGGGTAAGGGCTTTCTTACATGACAGGTTTCCCTGCCGTAGATGACACGCTTACTGGCAGCTGAGGCCCAATAGAGTGGAACTGCCGACTTGACCGGGGATAATACTCTAACTCCATAAAAAAAAAAATTTAAGCCACCCCCCTTCCTCTCAAGGGTGAGCCTTCCATAATAATTTTTAAGACTCCTTCCATTCTGAAGGAGACTCACACATAAAAACCTCTCTCCCACCCTCCCACTCATGGATGAATTTGCTTATATAGCCTTAAACACCCTTCATTTTTAAAAATGAACCTCAAACTTTGTCAGGCCGCCCCTTGGGCATAACCTCTCTCTTAATACGACTTTCTGGACTCTTTAAGCCTTCCAGAAATATCCCACAAATAATCACGCTTTCTTCGCTTCACCATTAATTTAAGTATTACACAGAAAGACTCACAAGGCCACTTTGATAAGAATGCCAATGACAACCGAAACACGCACGATCCTGCAACCAGGGGAAATCAAAACTCATACCGAAAAATACTTCCCAGAAGAAATTCAGGTCACCCCAAGTCCCACATCCTTACAACCCTTAATTCTTCACAAATTCATATCCCAATCAACAAAAGATCTCGTATAGCGTATCACACATGTCATATACGCAAAATAATATCAGATGTTCTCGCACAATTGGGTATGTGTTTGGTACAGACGACAACCCCTTAAAAGATCTCCACTCATATTTGACAAAAGCTAAAACCAGCTGAAAGAGAGGATGATCAGATCCAAAATATGCGCACAACCCCAAAAGTAAAGACGCACCCTCGATATCAGCAATATATATCAGAAAGGGCCTATGTCTCATAAAACTCATAGGTTTGGAAACAAAAACAAAATAAGCAGATAATCGCTCATTAGTTCTATCAATTGAGCCTACCGCGCTGTCATGACCCTTCGAGTGTCTATCTATTAGTCACTTAAGATCGCTGACAAGGTAAACAACCTCACCTCTCAATCCCTTTCTTTGCGATCTTACATCTGCGAGGGGTATGACCAGTCTTCCCACAGCAAGCACATACTATCCTCGTCCACCGTTCTCGCCCTCTTTTATTTCTTCGTCAAACCCGACTTATAACTCACGATGTTCCCCTGTCGTCACACTCCTTACCAAGATCAGATGCAGTGTGCGGCAGGGTCATACCAACTTCTCCCTGAACTCTTTGCTCCTCTATTCCTTCCTCGTTTGGAGCGTCAAGCATCCTCTCATAGGTATGAGATGCATCCACTCTCACTCTAGCCGGTATCTTTTTCCTCTTTCCTCCCGGCGCATTTTTCTTCTTTGTACTCCACCTGTGATTTCGCCTGACGATCTCAACGCCCTTCTGAGTTCCATTTTTCTTAGCATCTGAGGTGCCTACTGCCGGATCATTCGACCTCTTTTCAAGCTCACTCTTCTCACTATCCAACACCTTCCTTCTTTTCCTCGCTTCCCTCAGAGTATGGATGAGGTACTGGTCGAAATCCTTTTGTTCAAGGTTCTCTCGGATCTTATCCCAGACTAGTCTCCCCTCTGTTCCACGAATCAAATCTTGTTGTTCTGCATTCGTGAAGTTCATGAGGAAGACAAAACAGTTGTCATGTTCTGACAGTGCCCAGACCTTACGCGATGCGCGTTCATACTCTGCCAGGAAGTGCCCCACTGACACATAACTATACCGATATATCTTCTCAAGATCGTCTTTGGTCAGTTGTTCCTCCCCCAACCGGTACTTATTCCGCATATCATCATAGAACTTCCTCCACGATGACCCTGCTCTTCTAACCAACCCACTGACTTCCTCCTTCAAACCTATATGGATATACTTTATCACTTCTTTCAGCATTTGTTCCTCATTCCATTTGCAGTGGGACGCTATCTGTTCAAACTTGTCGAGGAAGTCAGAAACATGATCGCCTTTGAAGAAGTCGATGTCAACCTTGGGCAGGTTGTCTCGCTCCCAATCTCGTTGTTCCAACAGAGAAGCGAGTTCCTCGGCCCCAATCTTCCCTTGAGACCCTTCCATCTCGAGTTCCCTTGACCCCATCACCTGCTGAACAACAACAAACGACGTTAGGGTCGAGGCTCGACGAAAGTTACGCAACTAAATCTAATGCAGAATATATCCCTACTAAATCGTGTCATTCTCATCATGAAAGAGCATATAGGAATCTATTCAGAACAACGACGTTACCGAAGAAAGCCTCTTAAATAAATACGCACCTAAAATAAAACAAGAGTATTCACAAATAAGTCCCTCAAATCATAACTCAGGCATTAACAAAATATCACGTCTACTACTAGGAGGGATATAACACACATATGCCATATGGGTGGATACTCCAAACCTGAATCCAAAATAGCATACAACCCATGATAAATAACACATACCAATAACAATAACCCTTACGTGATAAACGCAATTTATTTACAGGGGTTATAGCTGAAGGACACAATATGCTTTTATAGACAACCATGTGAAGCCAACTCAACTGTCAGTCATATAACAAGATAAACCTCCACAACGTATTTCATATTCTATAAGGCAGAAGTAAGGCTAACAATGAATAAATAGCATGATACGATTGTTATTCCTTCAACTCTTAAGCGAAGCATATATTACCGAGGAGCGGTGTAATCCTCGTGAGATAACATCTTGACTCCTGAGCCCCGCTCTAAAGATCAAGCCTCACCGCAACCCTTTCTGATTCCGGCGCTTGCACCTCATCGAACCTAATCATGGCCAGATGGACAACCCCATTCACACCTACTAAGGCAACGAATAGCGAATTCGCGCCCTTACAGGTGTGGTGGCCCTGCTTAACGGGAGACGAGGATAGGTCGCTACTCCAGAACCGCTCTCACTAAGCAGTAGTTGTTCCACTCGGCCATCACAGTTTCGGTAAGGTAACAAGCCCCTTCCTCCTTTCTCAACAGATAATGTAGTTACTCTCCTCTCATAGGAAGGACAACAACATCCCACTTAATGGACCAGGAACATAGTTCCGGCGTGGGTCTCACTATCAGTTTCGAGACTAATAACCGCTTCCTTAAGCCCCACTGTGGGAGTAACAACTCAAGAATGCACTTCCACTGAGGACAAATTATACACGCCGATTAACTCCTTCTCGGAAGAACCACCTTCCACAGAAGCAAGTCACCCCATTCACCCCTGGCCTCATGCCAGACGTGTGTTTCATGCAAAACTTGTGTCCTCGTGGAAGGCAGTCCATACATACGCCATCAATCTGACATCAAACAAAACACAAAGAAAGCAGATATACAGAGACTACCAAACAAACAATCATAAATGCCATATATACATATATCACATATAATTAACACATAGGCCTCTCTTCGGACTAGCCAAACCGCTATCCTAGTGACCACTACTTCTCAAGATTTATCGATAGTTAGCCAGACAGTCCGCAAGCGACTCAAATCATCACCAGCTCACACTATCGAAGAGTCTAAGCATCGTACTAGCCATAGTACCTATCATATCACATCTCAGCCTGGGCTCAAGGAAAGATTTTTACAGTTAAACTCCTCACTTCGCACTTTATCAGTCATCCCCTCACCCATGCTGCTCCCGTATCAGCAACATTCTTTAAAGCAGGGGTCATCTGTGTTACCGCATGTTCATTAAACGCGGGTTTTCCGTTCAGAAACTGAACGGAATGAACGCGCGTTCAGTGAACACGACCGAACGCGAAGTTCAATTCCGCACGGAAAAAAAAAAAAAAAAAAAAAAAAAAAAAAAATTAATAAAAAAAAAAAAAAAAAATATGAAGAAAAATTAAATAAACAAAAAAAGCCTGAAAAAAAAAAAAAAAAAAAAAAAAAAAAAAAAAAAAAAAAAAGAGAACTGAAAATAGAAAAAAGTAAAAAGAGAA